AAAATAACCATCATAAATGAACTGCAATAGACGATGATAAGTTGTTTAATCATTATGATAGACGTCAATTTATCAATATTTATTACTGTTGACTACAAAGTAATGGTATATAGATCATTACATGATTTCTTGTGAGGTACAAATGACGCTAGATTTCTTGTAGAAAAAGTACGCAGTTTTGTCGTCATGCTTTTTTATTTTTAGAAAACCTTTAATTTAGATATAAATACTAGAGTTTTAATAAGAATATATTTTTTTCTTAGCAATTTTGATTTTGATAAATACAAAGTTGGTAAAATAAAATCGTTAAGTATAAATAAATGTACACATATTTAAATAAAACCCTAAAATATGAGCATTTATTTTACAACAATAAGTATTGACTCGTATTTATGTTTAAGACAGAATTTTTCGATTCGTACAATAACGAGTGCGTCGTCAATGTGCCGACCGATGCAACCCGACAGTGTCAGTAGTGATGTGACTGTAGACTGCGACATAAAAACGTCGATAAATTATATTATAAGCGTAGAGGTAATTCTGTCGGCACTTTGTTAAATCGTTACAGACAAAATATTTACTAGTCGGTGATAGACATTCATTTTTCAAAGAATTATTTGCGTGTGTGCAGGCGGGGCGGGGCAAACATAAATCTCGCGAGGCGATTGAATGCAAACGCGTAAGCGTGCCCGTGCGCATAATTCAAAGGGGCGATCACCAGGAATCGTTGTTTGGCATGCAGACGGCCGCGTTCATTCCAAAGTAATAAACCCGTTAGCGGCGACGTAATATGCATATCGGCAACCACTAAACAACACATTTCAAGCGCTGAAACATGCATAAATATGTTTAAGAATTTACACATGCGGACTCGATGCGTCGTGCTAAATTCGAAATGCTATAAAATGAGCTTCTCAATTCGCATAACGACCGCACGTAACTCGGAGGCAGATACTAAATGGTCGTTTATGGTGTGACTATATTACCAATATTCCTGGTAACATTTACTGAAACATATTCTCTATTACAATTACTTAAAGGTTATCGATATCGATAGATTGAGTCGGAGGTCGTCACCAGCCCGCAGGTGCATTGTGGTCTGATAGGCGGTTCCTGGCGAATGATCGGCGCGCCGGCCAGCCGACCCGGCTCTTTAATATTTATTTACACATGCAAATACGTTTCGTCCGCCCGAAACTGCGACCGATGCGACTCCGAAATGACTATAAAATATCCTGAATCGAAAATTAGTTTCTTATACGCACGTAAGCAATGAGTTGCAAGCGGACGAACAATTCAAGCATAAAGTTTCCATGCTTATAATGTATTTTATTCATTCATTTCTTCAGGCTATATTTCTTTGGCCGCACCTAAAAATAACGTATTCAGGGTACGGGTACTTTACGTATGAGCCCCACATTATCATATCGGTTTGAACATATTTTTAAAAAAATTTCGTTTGATTTAAAAAAAAACTTTTAAACGGATGCTTTAAGTAAAACCATCGATAGTGGTGTTGTAAAATCTGCTTTTTTTGACTATCTTATGCAAAACTTACCCTTATATGATAAAAAATTAGATGAAATTTTTATTTAAAAGTAAGACTTTTTACTTATTCCCTTTTCTCTAGAACTGCTATAGTTACTATCACAAGTGACTTGGAGCGATTATAAAAGCATTTTGAATGTAGATATGTAATTTATAAGGCCGATAGAAACGCTCTAGTCTATAAGCGGATGTTTTCCAGACAGACTAATAATTTATTGAGTTAAGTGGATATTAAACGAACACTGTTAGGTGCTAAACGCTAATCATTACGTTCAGTCAATTCAACTATTTTTATCGACATGTAACAGAGTAATGCTGAAAAACAGTTTCGATGTTATGAAGTGATGTTTGAAAATTATTAAACGAAATGAATCCCGGTCAAGTGTGCAACGAGTTTTGCAATTTGCGACATGTGAAGAGGTGTTTTAAAAAGTAATATTTATGTTCTTTCAATGAAATTACTTTGATAGGAGTTGCATAAGATTTTTTTTAATTAGTACGTTTTTAAACCAACTTTAAAAAAGCAGTTATTAATTCGACTGTGCATTTTATTTATATTATAACGTGGCGAACCAGCAACTGAACAACTGAATTTGCCGAAATAGTAGAGAGAATACTTATAGTTTGAATATAAAACATATTGTCCATTCTGTTTTGTCAAAGATAATGAGAAGGATGACGATATATTTAACACAGGGATTTTGGTTTCAGAAACCAACGTTAAGAGTTTTACAAAGGTCTTTAATTAAAGCATATGTCCAAAGATTTTGAATTTACAGAATAATATACGTAAATACCGAATCTGTCTTACTAATCTTACTAATATTATAAATGCAAAAATTTAGATATATAGATGGATGGATGGATGGATGTTTGTTAGAAGATATCTCCAGAACGACTCAACGGATCTTGGTGAAATTTGGCATGGTCGTAGAACATAGTCTGGAAAAGCACATATACCACTAATTAAGTTTATTTTAATTCTGCGCCGATGGAATCGCGGGCGATAACTAGTACGTGAATATTATAGCATACTTATAAATCGCTATTGAGTTCAATGGACGATAACCAATCAATTACGAGTAATACTGCAAATGTGTTTTTGCTACTTGAAACAAAAGAGCAATTTCGCCCAATATTTGTTTTAGCCTATACCCACTCTACGCGCGTATTTTACGGACTTTGTAGTTCAGGTAGAGTTATTACACACATTTACTTTAGGCTAGCCACTACATGCTACCGTCGAGTCCTAGGATACTTTGGACATATTGCCCGGAGAAACCCTGACAACCTAGACAAATTGGTTGTGGTCGGAAAGATAGAGGGTAAAAGGTCACGGGGTCGATCACCTACTTGCTGGTCCGATCAAGTGCAGGCTATATTGGGACTTAATATCACGACTGCCCTGAGACAAGCCGAAGACAGGACGGCGTGGACGCAGCTGGTCGACACGGCCGTTGAAGCGTACCAGGACAAGCACGACCTTCAGTAATGAAGAACACGAAGAAGAAGAATTTTAGTACATAGTGATGTGCACAAAAATAATCCTTTGAATTACAAAAAAAAACGATATATCCTTTTTAAATCGTAATCTTCATAATTATTTTAATCATATCACAGTAAATATCTAGATTTAAATATTTATTATACTTAATAATTTTTATAAAATCTAGCTGTACTAATATTATAAAGCGGAATAGTTTGTTTGTTTAAACGCGCTAATCGACTGGTCCGATTTTAAAAATTCTTTTTATGTTGGATAGATTTATAGAGGAAGGTTTTAGGCCATAACATTGCTAGCCACAACGCTGCGATTAATCTTTTTTTTAATTCCGTGCGGAAGGAGTCACGGGGGACAGCTAGTCGACTTTAAATGAGTTTTAGGGATAAAAGTTGTTACAAAAACATTTATGTTAAACTTGTCAAGTATTGTGACAAAGTTTGGATAGAGTTTTCTTTTAAATTAAAAGTAAACATAGAAAAGAATCAAACCACAATAGGATTGTATTAAATATTTCATACGCATGTTAAACATTTTTAAATAAGTCCATGAACAATGATAATTGAAATTTTAAAAAGTTAATTATAAAATTCTTAATAAATTCAACCGTATCATTAAAAAATAACTTGTACCAGTTATTTTATAAATAAAATAAATTGTCTATGATGAATTATATTTCTTTTGTAACCATCTCTACTATCTTGTTAACTGGTTAATTGGCAATTAATTAAAATTTTTACATTTAATGACTTGACTTGTTAGTGTTTTTTTAGAAAAGAAATATTTGAGTAACTTAAATATCTATGTATATCATACAAGATGCCTTTCAGTTTAATAGGGTGGCCAGGAGTAATAATTTTTTTACATCTGCCTTCTGCTTAATAAATGCGAAAGTTTAGATGAATGTATGGATGGATATTTGTAAGCAAGTAACTTAAAAACGGCTTAACAAATCTGGATATAATTGGCACAGATATAAATTACTGTTTTAAATAGCGGATAGGCTACTTATTATAGTATTTTTTTTTAATTTCGCGAATCGAAATCGCGGGGCAAGCTGGTTATATAATTATGTATGGTATATTGAGTTATCTTAATGCTCTTTACTATACCACAGCCAAAATGTATTTTTATTATTATTATTTTAATTATTTCTTATACGAAAAATAATACAATATTGCGATACCGAACCAGAACTGAGAACCAATAATTATGTACACAAAAAACGGTTTTCTTATCTGGAATTTTAATTCGAATTTTGCTGTTTACCAAACATTTTTATTTAGAGTTACAAAAAGTTTAAAATTAAATTATTTAACGAATATATTTTCAAATATATAGCTTAACAATAATTTTCACACAACTCCTAGTAGAAACAAATTGATTTATAGTTCGGTATTTTATTTTTAATTACTCAAATAAGTTTTACCAAATACGTGTTTGATTATACTAATTTTAATGTCATTTATTTAAAAAAAAAATCACAAGTCGTTTGCACATAACATGTAATTACATTTGTCTAACATTTTGTTAATTGCCATGTAAACAAGTACCGATTTAAGCAAGTAGTGATATTTGTTTGGTCCATGATAACGTGTTCATTAACCGTCTCGCCGCGTTATCTCGAGTGTGTTATTACTCAAATTATGACCATTTACAGCTCGTTCCTCATGTCTTTGATAATTTGAAGTGTGATATTTCTGATTTATTTGTTGATTGCGCTCAATAAACTATCACTTATAATATTTGTTATCACTTTATAAATTTTCAAATACATAAAAGTAAATGTTTTGGATAAAAACGTATAAAACTAAATAAATTAAGCAAATACTAATTTTAAATATAACGAAATAATAATTGTTGAAAATTTCGAAAAAATATTTCAACGTGATTTTTTTAAGAGTTTATTGTAGAAGGTGATGTATGAAAATGTATGATTTTGTGTACTGACCTGCCGCCGGGCGGAGGACGAGGGGCAGCACAAGGAGCGGCAGTAGCGGCAGCCGCATGCTCGCGCTAGCGTCGCATGCCGGCGCGGGCGCTGTGCGCTCGCCGCCCGCCGCCGCGGCACTGTGCCGGTGCCGAAGACGGGCGCGGGCCGCGCGCCGCGGCACGTGCGCGCCCCGCCTGCAACAGGTGACTGTACAGCCGCGTGTCCGCGTCGCACTCGCACTCGCCTTTGCCCGCGCGGTACCGCCCCTCACCATCGGTCCTGCCCCACCGGAGCGCTGGCGCGGACTGAGCCTGGCCCGAGAACCGCACCCAGCGCGCCCACACTGCAAGCGGCGGAGTGGCGGTGGCGGATGGCGCTGCAGCGCGTGGTGGCCGCCGCGCCGCACGCCGTGTCGACGACCGCGCCACGCGCCTCCCGCGGCCTTCCGCCTCCGCGGAATGCAACGCGCCCTACTCATCGCGCATCTCCAACGCAGCCCAACAGTACTGCATCTCCTCATTCTAAAATCTAATAACAACGCAACGATTATATTTTGTATTCAATTGAAATAATTTTGTAATTAATTAATTTTAAAATTCACTTACAAGCATTAAATTAGCCTCATTAACCGAGCTTGAAATCGCTGCCAATGGATCAATGAACTTTGCGTCAGTTAAGCGTTGAAGTCTTTTCAAGGGCGCTTATTATACGACAAAAAAGCTCGGTAACCGCTTCAGTAAAAACCGATCGTCGTTAAGTAAATCCGATAAAGTGAAGTAGGATCAAATGTTATATGAGTCTTGATGGTCTCGTCAACATTTATATTATATATAGTAGTATATCTTTAAAGTGGAAAGGAAATTATCAAAAGGAAATCGTCGTTTTACCAGTGACTAACGATTTCAAAATCGCGAGTTGTCTGCGGAGCAATTATTAGCAGCAATAATGGAGAGTCCGCCTTGATTACAGCCTCAAGCACATGTAACATGCACCCGTGGTTCACATGGCGGCAGGAAGCAGATAGTTTTATTGTCCCTGCATTATAAATGTTAAAAGCTAACGTAATAAATCAATAAATGAGTTACACTCTCACTGTTTCCTTACTCCGTATGTGCATAACATTTATTGATAGAGAAAACGGATTAATTCCCAAAGACACAAGAATTTATATCATGTTTTGATGCATTTTTACTCCACCTAATAAATACAATGTTTCAAAAACAACCAACGAATTAATCTTTCAATGTTAATGTACGCATTTATATTCATTGCATTATCATTTTTACAATTTTTTATACTTAAAAAACGTCCTAAATATCTTACTCGTATTCTTTAAAATATGACTTAAAGGCTCTCATATAAATGTTAATAATAAATAAAACAACTTATATACTTCACAAACAACTGCGTATTTTTGTAATAACTCTTGTGTATTAAAAAAATAATATGAGATTGAAAAACCTATTGATATAGGGAGCAAAATGACAAAAACTCTAAGAGATTCGAGGATAAAAAGAAATAAAGGTGTGTGAAGCCATCGACAAAAGCTAGTATTGCATCAATGTATTTTGCGGATTTCAATTTATTTATTTTTAAACGTGTTGCGTAGCATTCACATGTCTTTTGTCTCTTTGGCACAACTCCAATTGCAATTTGTCGGTCGATCAAGGGGCTTGCTACAATAACAATTGGCTATTTACAACAATAACATGCAAGTAGCATGACGAGAATTGAATTTATCTTACTAATAATATTTTAAATGCAAATGTTTGGATGTATGGATGGATGGATAGATAGATAGATGGATGTTTAAATTATTCAAACTTTCGTTAGGCATTATAATAAACTTATATAAAAACGACTAAAACACTCACGTATATTCGTCCGGTGGCGGTACCGACTAGTTTCGAGCCCATCAGGGACCCTTCATTAGGGTGAGTGGGACTGGTACTATTTCTCGGACGCGGCCCGTCGCTCAGAGATCACAGATGGATGTTTGTTAGAAGGTATCTCCAAAACGGCTGCATGGATCTCACTAAAATTTGGAACAGGTATACGACATAATCTAGTAGCACACATAGACTACTTTTTTTTTAATTCCGCGAGGACTAAGTAGCGGGCTACAGCTAGTTATGGTATAAAACACTCCAAGGGAGAATGACATCGAATTACACCTTACTCTCTAATATATACAGCTAAAAAAACCATAGTAAAACACATATACATAGAAAAAAGTTTTTAAGCTTGTAAATTATGTCCTATATAGAATGAATTTATTTACATTACTTTCACATTTCACATTAAAAATGTAACAATTCCTTGAAAATATTCGAGAGAAGGAAATCATTTTCATTAAAGTTACAGACTTGATATAATAGGTTACTGAAGAGTGGTCAACGGGGATACGATGACTGTAAAATTTTGCGTTTGTAATATCATATGATATCAAATTAACTATAAACAGTTTTATTAGTTATTTATGTCAAACTAATAGATTTTATATGATTTGTAATAATAGAAATAATAAATACTTCATAATATTTTAATATCGAAGCGTATAATTTCTTAAAAGCTTTACACAAGAACTGCTTTTATGCCCCAACATAGATATTTCAAATCGACCAAAACAATAATGTACAAATCATTAATTACTGTCAAATTAAATCGTTTAAAAAACCTCTATCGTGATCTTTGTGTCCTTATTTGTGTAAAAGTCATTTTTTATCTATGGTCGGATAAAAATAACAAAAGACATTCGCGACGGATAAAATGCATATGTCTGCAACGTACAGACAGGTAATAAATAAAGCAAACATATCTCAATTAATTACCGTCCGACATCGGAAAAGGAAAAACTAAAGCCAAATAAAAATGTCCCATAAAAACAAAAACATGTGAGCTTTAAGATTTGGTGTCAAAATATAATTTTATTATACGACTACCTATCGGCCCCGACCCCGTCTGCGAGGAATTAAAAAAAATTATCGACTAGCCTATGTGTTCTTCGAGACTATGTTCTACATCTGTGCCAAAATTCATCAAGATCCGTTGAGCTATTCCGGAGACACCTTCTAACAAACATCCATCGAAACTTTGACATTTATAATATTAGTTGAAGCGTCAATAGCCTAATGGTTAAGGTTACGGATTTCCGATCACGAGGTCGGAGTTCGAATCCCGCCATTCGACTATTGTCGTAAACCATATCCTAGCACAAGCATACAGCTTAGTTGGAGTGGTAAAAGAAATATTAGTAAATTTGCAAAAAAATCTGCTAATATTTTAAATTAAAAAAAAAAGTTTAGTTTACAAATATTTTTAAAAAATAAAATAAAATCTCTATCAGATATCAGACTTGAAATTATAAATGATTCAACGTGAAAAACCATGATAAAATTTAGCAAGCTCAAAGCAAACACAATATAGACTGGTCAGCTATACGAAAGACACTGGCAAACAATAATGAAATTTTGTATAATTTTATTTACCCAGACGGTTTTAAAAGTGTTTTTATTTACACATCTATTAAAATGGTAATTGAATGTTTGTTTTCAGAATATAAAATGTCAGATTTAAATTAATGATGACCACATTTATTAATATTTTTGTTAATGGATCTACTGCTGCCAGAGACTGATTCTAAAAGAAAAAAACCACGAATATTTGTCCGAAACAAATGTGAGGAAACTGATAGTTCATCAGTTTGTACCCACTTATATATGCAAAATACAGTTATCAAAAGTTAATTAGCAACTTCACGAGTAACCATGGATTTCTGGAATCGAAATTTCCATATAAAATATATCGTCATCGCTGTCATTATCTTAGACAATACAGAGATAACAATATGTTTTAATAGGAGTTTATGGACTCAGAAACCCTCGGTTAGTGAAACTTTACAGGTTACCAAGCCGAATTGTTTTCGTTTCATACAGTACAAATACAGATGAAATTATTTTTCGAGAATTTATAACATAAAGCCAAGCTGACGATGTGTAAAACTAATAGACATTAAGACTATATTTTTTATTTGTATAATAAGGTGGCAAACGAGCGGGCGGCCACCTGAAATCGCTGAAATAGCAAAGCGACCGTTGCCCATAGACACACGCAATTGCATATGCTTTGCCTACCTTTAATCGACTGAGGAGAGGATGAACAGAAAGAAAATATTTTCCTCTTCCATGCATCCTCTCATCCGGAAAGTCCACTTCCACTTCCCATCCTTTCCTTATGAGAAAAAGGGTGGGAAGAGAAAGAGGACTAAATTAGGCCACCGGGACGCAATACGCGCAATACTCAAAATTCTTTAAAGTTGCAGTTACTGGACACCCCCGTCGACAGTTGGAAATTGCTTTTTGAATACTGTTTACCGTTCCACGTGACAGTAATTGACACTGGCAAGTCGCATGTACCTTCTTAAATCTCAAGTCTTACGATCGAACAGTCGCTCCGAAAGTCCACATAAAATCTTGTAAAGCGAGTCCCTCATGTATAATTATATTCCCCGCATTATCCTGTTTCAAAAGTACACTCGTAAATACGTCTCTTTAAAGTTTTAAACATATAAAGCCTCCTTAGTTTTTTTTTAAATATCTATATTTTTATACAGATAGAAATGATTTAAGTCGGCCGAGTAAACGTTGTTTTTCATTGAGGAAATAGATTTTAATCTTCCAATGATATCGCTATTTAATTTTGATTAGGCATTTAATATCAGCGTCGGTGACTCAGTGGTCAAGCACTTGACTTGCAATCTGCAGGTCCGTATAGTGAGCTGATGATGATTTAATATCAAAAGCGATTGGGTGAAGCGACAGATCATAAAAGAACCTGAAAATATTAATTGTATTTGCAGTCGATAGAAATATGCAAAAGCTGTATTCCATAAGAATGATGCTCGGATTTTAAATTGGAAACTAAACCACTTAGCTATGAAAGCTTTAGAATAGATAGGAAAAGTATTTACTGTAAATTACGCTTTAACGTTATGTGCAGCTGCACATAAAATCAGAGAAGCTAAATCTAATACACTAAATCCTTGCATTGTCTATGCAATACGAGCTTGATATTAAATTCCATAGACGGGACGACTAATTGTTTTCCCCGAGTGTACGCAAATTAGTTTCCGTCAGGCGCAGCGTCGGAACGGCGTTGCCCGTTCACCATTAACTAACCACTCGACTGCTCCACTCGACTACCGATCCATTTACAAATTCCTAGGCGAGACTTTAACAGTACAAATATGCGGCCGCCTGCGATGCCAAGAATTTG